TGTACCGGCGGTTGCCTCAGGCGACAATCATCACGCCTAACCGAGCCGCCAGCGGCCTGAGGGCGGCCCAACGTACTATATAGGGATTGATGATCGCTTGAGGATGTGAATCCTCAAGCGATTCGTTCTGTTCTATTTTGCATACAAACTCCCTAATAATCTGAACACGTTTGATCTTCCCAGTATTGCCCCTCTCGTAGCCTGTTGGCAACCACGCTCGAAAGAGCCCTTACACGTGGATACAAACTCCATCGTATGCCCCCACCCCTGGTGACTTCGGTAGAGAACGTACACCATCCGTATTTTTCCCATCAACTGAACATGTACTTGATGAACCTTATACTCCCTCGCATCAATCCCAGCCCAATCGTCTGGGCTTCCTCCAGGAGCCCGAAGAAACGACTACGAAGCAACATAGAGCAAAGCCTTGTATTCATTATACTATTGAGTGGAAGGTAACTCTGAAGAACCGAACTGTGTCGAAGGACACTGAACAGGACCTGGCTGTAGCACCCACTTCACACTGGGCGAAGATAGCACAGGATGCTGAAAATGTTATACGTCGAAAAATACGTCGCAACCAACATTGTTGGGTGCTCAGTATGTAGTTAGTTGTTCTGTTATTGACTGGAACCTACTGGCTGATAAGCAGCCTGATTACATAAGCTTCCGCGCTTCATCAACCAATGTATGTACACAACAGTTCCGTCATCAAGGAAAGCGTCGTGCCCTCACGATGGTACGCATCATCAAGCAATTTAGCGGGCAAGGAAATAAAGTGTCGAACGCCGAAATGTAATAATAACACAATAATAAAACATTAATAGACGCGGCTTACGAGCAGTTGAAGAGCCGGTGGTATTATTCGAAAGGGTAATCAAGTCCTCCAAGTGCTTCCTCTAGGGTATCGATACGATGTTGTTTCGCCAGAAGCTCCTTGTTTGCCTCCTCCAATTTTTTCTTCAGTTCGAGCACCTCAGTATCCCTTTTGCTCTTTAACACACCGAAAGTATTTTTTGTTTCCTTCCAGACAAGGTCGTTAAATCTTTTCAACTTTTCCAACGGAGAAGGCGTCTGTGACTTCACAGATCCCGACTCGGTCGGTGTTGTACTTGTCAGGTCGACGTTGCTTGTCTGCGTCTGTCCGGCCAATTCCTTTATCGCCCGCTGCCTGTCTTTTACCCATCGCAATTCCTTGCCTTCGTGCCGTCCTAGTTCAGCGACGCTTGTAGTACCCGGCATAGAGCGGACAAATTGTTCGAACGGTGTGAAGTCAAGTGGAGGTCGTTGCGCTTGGACACATGGTAAAGTGCCGTACTGGATAGGTGTTTGTCTTCCTGGTCCGTCATCTAATGCTCGGATCGCGCCGATTTGGAGTCTATTGGAAGGGCCACCACCTGGATACACGTTAACCAACCATGAATTCTTTTCGGCTTCTCGTTCTCCGATCATAGCGTAGTAGCCCTTGAACACCACCGTCCAACGTTGACCGTTGACTTCGGCGACCACTGGACGGCCGACGGGAACCCTTGTTTTTCTCACGTTGCCGTTTAGCTCGAAGTCGGCTGGCCAGCGAGTTGCTCTCTCCTTTACGTTCAGGTAGATGATGGCAAGTACTAGCCACCCGTCAGAAAGTCTGGTGTTCTTGGGGGGCCAGCCGTAAACGTCAGGCTGGTGTACCTCCACGGCTACCTTCCACTTGGCCGCCGTGGCGCGGTCAACCTGGCCTCTGCCAAGCACAGTCATGTCTGGGCCCTCAGGGTCACCGATTTTCCATTTTTCGTATGTGACCTTGGTCCTTGATGCGTTGCAGCTTTGGATAGCCGCGACCATCGACTTATCCCAATCAGGAGTTCCAGGAGCAAGCAGTCGAGAAGCGGCAACTCGTGAGGAAGTCATTGTAGCTTGAGTTTAAGGTGAGATTGCGAAGAGGAGAGGAGTATCACTGTGTAGTTGAGGGGGTAGTTCAAAGGAGATTATCAGGTCGCTCGATGACAGATATGATTGATTGTGAGACTGAGAAGAGTTGGGAGTGAGAGACATGAAGTGTTGACAAGATGGGCCAGGGGCTGGAGATGAGACATCACACTATGTTCACTTCACCACATTCACTTCACTTAACACAACGTCCACTTTACCATGACATTATGTCATTTCTTCACTCTATTTCTTCACTCTTCTATTGCTTCTTCTGCCCCCACCATATTTTCTGGCGGCTCCCATGTATCGTACGCAGGTGGCCATCCGACCCAACGGACCAAGTATTTGACCACTGGCTTTCTACTTCGTCCAACAAGATTGACGCGCTTGTCAAGTACTGCTTCAACTTCGAATCGGTTTGTGTCGTCTGGAAAGCGCTCTTCTAGTACCGGCGGGGGCTTGGACGGCGCTCTGCCGAATGGATCTTTGTCTGTTGTTCCCTTTTCCAGGTGTATTACCGAGATAACAGGATTCACCTTCCAAGTGCTAGGCAAGTCAAGCTCGTATACCAGGTCACCTATCCGACGCAACACCATGAATGGACCAGCTAATTGACGACTGAATTTCTTGCTGACTCTCTTGTTTGCTGGTAGTTTATATCCTTGGTGTAACTTCAGGAATACTTCGTCTCCGATCTCAAACTCGATCGGTACACGGTTTCGATCATAGTATTGTTTCATTTGGAAAGCAGCCCAGCCAAGTTCTTGCTCGGCGTCCAACCGGGAGGTAAAATCTTGTTGAAATACTTGGCGGAGCATTTTCCACGGGGTGCGCAAATTGATACCGTATATTAGCTTGTGTGCCGAGGATCCCGTTGCTGGCTTTATTGTTGAGTTTAGGGATGCTTGAATAGGACCCAATATCTCTTCCCAATTTTCAGTCTCGACCGGTTCCTTGGTAAAGTAGTGGCGAAGTATTATCTCTACTGTCTGAATAGTCCTTTCCGATTGCCCGTCTGACTGAGGATGCCATGCTGTTGTGTAGATCCATAATGCACCAAGTTGTTTGAACATTCCTTTCCAGAATTCGCTCATAAACCGTGCGTCTCGGTCAGAAATAAAATTTTGAGGCATTCCCCAATCGCTTCTTTGGAATATTTCGACCAGTTTCCTTCCCTATTGTTCTGCTGCCCAATGGGACGAACCAGGGATGAATCCAACTTGCTTGGTAAATTTGTCGACTACTACCAACAGTTGGTTGTTCCTATTCTTGGAGGTTGGCAGGCGTACGATGAAATCTAGTGTCAATGTGTGGTACGGCTCAGGAGTTGGTATTATAGGATGTAGCAAACCGTATGGCTTGTGTCGGGGTGGTTTGTTCGTTATGCAGACAGGACAATGCTCGATGTATTGCTTGAGGAGCCGTGCGGCCTTGTATACTGCCAATTCTTCCAGTTTCTTCATCCCCGCTCGAAAACCTTGGTGTCCTTGCTGGTCGTGTACCTCGTGGAATATTTCCTTTACCATCGGGTGTGGTATATACAGCCAATGGTCACCGTTGTGTCGGACTATATAAAGTAGCTCCTCCCTCATCACATAAGGCATCACCTTGGGATCTGGAGGTTTCTCGTACTGCCGGAGCGCCTCTATAATAGCCTTCGCTCGTCGGTCATCTTTGTAACTGGTTTTTAACTTGGCCACAAAACTGTCTGAAAGTTGTAGCTCGGATGCCGCTAAACTATAGGCATTCGACAACCACAGGGCGTCCAAATCAAAAGCACTTTCCTCTGGAGGTATTCCGCTTGGTAAACGGGATAGTGCGTCAGCGACTGTGTTTGACTTCCCTGGTCGGTGGATGATTTGTAGCGAAAATTGTTGGATGTACTGGGACGCTCGTATGAGTCGCAAGTTTAACTTATCTGTGGACGTGGTTCGCAAGCTCGTCTGTTTACCTATTTGTACCGTAGCCGAGTGATCCGTATAAACTATAGGGGGCAGGTTTTCCGGCGCCGCCTCGATAAGATGTCGAATCTTCTTGATTACCTATACCAGACATGAAACTTCCAGCTCAGTTGGCCAATAGTTATGCTCAGCCGGGTTCAACCCTCTACTAAGAAACATGATTGGCTCAACCGCTGCCTTTGGAGGCGGTTTTTGTAGATCAGGATGTTTGTAATTCGGCTTTAGATGGTACACTATTGCGCCATGTCCGAACTCTTTTGAGCTGTCAAGGTCGATATACAATTGGCGTTCTGGATTATGATGTGTAAGAAACTTTGGATTGTCGAATTCTCTTTGAAGATTCTCGAACGCCCTTTGTTCTGAGGGCGTAGGTTTAACCTGTATTTGGGCGGATCTGGTAGCTCGTGGTCGTCTCTTCATAGGACCGCCCTTGAGTAGTATTGTCTTAAGGTCGACAAGGGGTTTCGCTTTGCTGGCATATCGCGCGATATAGTATCGAAGACAGTCAGCCAGTCCTATGTAAGTTTCCAATTGTTTGAGTGTTGTAGGGAATTGCAATTGTCTTATCGCGGCCAATTTCTTGTCAGTCGTAGATAATCCTAACCTATCCACTCGCTGCCCCAACAAAACGATTGATGGATAACCAATAAATGCTTTCTTTGGTTCCAGCGTAATGTTTATGCTTTCCAGCTTTCCGAAGACTTTGTGAAGGTGTTCAATGTGTTCGTCCAATGTTATTGAGGTAATAACGATATCGTCGATATAGGCTCTACAAAAGTGCCTAAATTCACTCAGTGTAAGGTCTAGTTGCCTTTGGACATATGGTATCGAATTTTTAAAACCCATGATCGCCACTTTGAACTGTTCTTGCCCTCGATGAGTAATTACAGTAAGCCGTCGGCGATGTTTCCTTTTAACTCGCCATTGGTAGAATCAGCTTCGGGCGTCGACTACCGATATGTAATGCTTGCCTCTAATTATATTGATAATCTCCGACTGCAGGGGAACTGGATATAGATCGGGTATGGTTTCTTTATTCAACGCCTGTATGTCAACCACTACCCGTGATTTTCGGATCGATTTATCATCGGGACCAGGGACACTTTTCCAGACGACAAACACTGGATAAGCGCTCGGAGTTGGGCCCTGACATTTCTCCAGTTTATCTTGTTCGTACAAATCGTCGAATATCTTGTCAATTATCGCTTCGTCTCTCGGGTTACTTCGGTAGACTTGGGGTTTCGGGAGACGATCTTCCCAACCCTGCTTTAAAGGAACTTCTATCCACAATTCCTCTGGAACCTTAACAATTCCGGCTTGCCCGTCTTTTCCCCAGATATTGTATTTACTGACAACGGCCTCGAGCCTTTCTTTCACCGACGTTTGGCCATAGATCGTTATGCCATTAGAAAGACAAGTCTCCAGTTGTTTGTTAAGTAGATTGGTCGTCGCTTTGATAGCGCTTGTTGTTCTTGGTATTGATAGCAAGGTGTCTTCAGACGCATTTGCTTGATAAGCCGCTATGTAGTCGTTGTCAGAGACAAGTCCTAGTCGAGTATTTTGGTCAACCACTATCTGTCGAGGCTGGGTATTGTAGGCTTCGACGAATGCAGTTTTATCGTTCATCACTGATGTGTACATCACAAAGGAAGTGTTCGCGGATGGCTCGAAGATATAATCTCGTTCGATCGGTAAAGGAGTTTTTGTCGAGATTGGGATGAGTGTTTGGCTATAACTTGGCAGGACAATGCGCTGGGTGGCGTACATAGGGACGTCAACTATTCGATTTCGCTTGGCATGGACGTTGATGGGTGTCACCACGCTGTTCCATCTATTTAAATGTATCTTGCGGCTTTCGAAGTCCAATATTAGTTGCTCGGACCCTATGATGTCCATACCGATAAGAAGCCTTGCCCTAAGATCGTGGACTAGGTGTGCTTCAGCCTCCATACGCACAGCCAAGTGTTTACCATCCCTTTTTCCTATGAAGAATAAGATCAGGTTTACCCATTCTGTTGATTGGTGTTTTGAGCCTATCCCCCGGACAGTTATCGGGGCACAAGGGCGGCTTTTTAATCCCAACGCCTTGGCTAAATCGGCGTCTATCAGCGTCATCGAACAACCGGTATCAACACAAACGGTGAGTCGGTTGTGTAATGTAGCTACTCCTAGCGTAGCGGTCGCGTATCTCCAATTCTTAAACAGAGATCCATCTTCGGTCGACCTATTTTTGTTTTTTGATCCATTAGAGTCAATAACTCTTATTTCCTTGCAGTCCTCGTCTAACTCGTCCGTTGTTTGACCGTTGCAGGTGGGTATATGCTTGTATAATCGGTTATTTGACGGAAAACCCACTCCGCATTTATAGCAATCGACTACCGGCTCCGGTTCGTAGTCGATATACAATGATTGCTATTGCTGGTCCTCAGCCTTGTTCTTATACCCGTACTCGTAATTTTCTCCATAATCGTCTACGGGGTATTTGTCCGAGTAATCTGCTTGATATCCCTGCTTATCGTAGTTGTGATTATCGTCGTCCTCGGGGTTGTCCTCTACCTGTTCGTCAACTGTTTCGGAGTTGGGTATTTCTTCTACCTCTGTTTGAAAGGCCACGCGTGGACCTCCGGTAGTTCCTCCAGAACCCTGATGTTCTGTTGCGTTAGCGTGATAACCACCTCTCACGCGCCCTCGGAAGGCTCCTCTACCAGGCGGATTACGATTGTCTGCCGGGTAGTTCGGACGCTGCCCCTGCGATCGTTGGAACGGGCGACCTCGGGGGTTTCCTCGTTGGTTCCAAGGTTGACGGTTCATACGCGACGCACCAAAATTAGCGGGTTTGTCTGCGAGCAATGGTTGATTTCGGGGCTCAATCTGCTTCTGCAGGTTCGGTGCCGCTTGATTCTGGTAGCCACGGTTCGGGTACCCTTGGTAAGGCCTCGGGTTCTGGAGGTATTGCCAATTGCTGTTCCAGGGGTTAGCATAATTCCCATTGTTCCAAGCGGCATTCCAATTTCCATAACCGTAGCCGGATGGTTGTTTGTCATATTGGTTGGGGCTCGGGCGCGCTTTGCCCATTGCTCCTCCACGAGGTGGCGTTCTAGACTTACTCGACAGGTATGCCAAGTCCTTCCAGATACCGTACTTTTGATCCAAGTGATTGAGAAATATTCCTAATGTAGTGTCTGGAGTTGGTTCGGGGATATCTCTCCGCAAGGACGGCTCTATATGTGACCACGCAAGCGTCAACTGGTTGAACACGTTGTCGACGTTTGCCGCGCGTGCATGTCTTAGCAACTCCTGGACATATACTCTCGGAATTTTACCGTTGCGAATATCGCGGTAACCGTATGACAATATGGTAAGCTTGTTAAGTGCCTCCGGTGCCCTTGGTTTAAACCGCCGGATCAGCTGCTCCAGCCATCCTTGTTCGATTGGAGTATTACGTAGGCCAATCTTTTCGAGTTGCGTGAGCTCGGTTGTGAACTATTCCAACGCCGCACCTCTAAGGCACGAATGGATATTATTTCTCACGACTTCTTCGGTTTTGAATACTATAACATCTCTCATGCGATCGACAAACGCATAGACATCCCGATAGTATGTGCGCGCACCCTGCTCTTTAAGGAGGTCGGCTGCACTATTGACATTCTCTGGTTGATCTGGATAAAAATAACCCACATCTTCTGTTTTCCAGCCGTTTCCTTGAGGTTGTCTCGCATCGCCGTCCTCGCCGTCCTGGCCTGGTGGACCTGGTGGGCCCTGATCTCCTTGGGGGCCTGGAGGGCCCTGATGGCCTCTTTGTCCTCGTTCGCCTTGGGGTCCGGGCGGTCCTTGTGCCTCTATTGGTCGGTTTCGGAGCGCTTCCATAGTCTGTGTCAGTTCGTCAAGCCGACGTTCAGTACGTGCTTGATTGTCAAGGACTCTCGCTATCAGCTCTTCAACTGTTGGGGTTCCTACAGTGTTCGCCATATCTCCTGTGTTCTCTTTGTCAAGTACTTCGGTAATTGGTGAAGGGACAGGAGGTTCAGGTGTAGACTTGTCTGGTTCTCCGTCTGTTCTTCCTGTGGCTCGATCAGGTGTCTGTTCTTCGGTTTGTGAGGATGATTGTTCCTGTCGGGGATGTGGGCCGAATAGTTGACGAGCTGAACTCCCAGCCGATCTATGACGAAATC